GCTCTTCACGTTTTATCTTTGATTATATCTTAATTAATTTGATTTATGTAAAATCTTTGTAACTGAAGAAGACTTTGTTTGTGAAGAAAATTTAAAACTAGTTTCACTTATTTTTAATGTATATTAAACATTAAATTTTGATCAATAATTTTTAAAATTTCAATTTATTCGCTCGCCTTTGGTCGGTTTTCTTGATGTTGTTGACATTATTTTTCAATAATAAGCAGATTATTATTGTTTATCTTTTTATATTATTTGTGTTTAAGTAAATAACTATGAGAATTAAAACATTTTCGACGTAGATCGATATAGATCATCAGAAAATGTGTGACTTAAAAGTAAAACAAAAGGTCTCGCAGGGTCTCATATTCCTCAAAAGCACAATCTCAAAATAAAAATCGAGTGAGCAAGCATAAAAGTGACATTAAATTTGACTTGCTCGTGTTCTAGCTTGCTAAATTTTAACAGAAAGCAGTCGTCTCTGTTGTATCAAAAAAGAAAGGAAAATTGTCATAAAGGCACCATGCGATGTAATTCAGCATAAAAGATACATAAGGTATATATGAAATATGTGAATGTAGTCACAATTTTATTTTTTACTTTGTGGGCCTTTATTCCCTATTGATTTTACATGTACAGTCCAATAAGATTTTTATTGTTTTTTAATTTAGTATGAAATGCAAATATCAGCTTTAAATTTATTTTGAAACTCTTTGTATGCGTTCATAAGTTTCTATGTGTCATTTCATAGTTATAATTATACGAGAAAGAGAATTTAGTAAGATATAATTACATAAATTATACATAACAATAATTTTTAAAAAATGAATTTTATGTATTATAAATTAATTGCAATTAATATGTAAATATTTAATAAAATAGTTAATAATAAAATAATAAAGGTATCAGTAAAGATTTTTTAAATAATTGTTAATTTATGTATTAGATAAATTTTTAATTATATGTAAGTACTTTAATAATAATAATACGATTTTACGAAAAATATGCAAACTTTTCGTAATTTGGTAAAAATTTGCATATTTTGCATCATTCTATAACGGCTTTGTTAATTAACGAATCGTTGCCGCAAGGTATATAAAATGTTCGCTAAAACAATATTTCGATATAAACTTTCTGAAACAAGTATTTTTACAAGTGTAACAGCTTTCGCGATTCAACGTGAAAATATAATTCGTGGACGAATGTGCAAACATGTCTAAATATTTTGTTTCGTTTTTTAATAATAATTTACGTAAATTTTTTTGAAAATTTCTCTTTTTTCATATATACCTAAAAGCATCATGAATCAATAATGAAATATTTACCAATAATGGAAATATAAACAGAAAATGTAAATGAGAGATAAATGGAAAATTTTATTCAAATAATATATGTATTTTGTACAAATAAATGAAAACTGTAAAACATTGTGAAAATATAAATAATTGTAAAAACGTTCTTCTTTAAAAATGTGTTATCGATTTTAATTGAAAAGTATATACACACCTTTCATATGTATGTATACGCATATACATATATATATATATACGTATATAGGTATCTCTATTATCTTTTTTAATCTTATACAATCAGCAATACATTCTTAAGCTTTCTTATAATTATTTTTATATTAACATTAATATGTTATATATATATATAAATACATGTATATATGTATATACATAAATAAACATTTATATAAACTTTATTCTTTTTAATTCGTAAGAATTTCTATATTTTAAGATTTCTCACGATTTAGATGTTCCATAAAAATAGAAAATATCTATCGATTTGGTATGCGGAAAAGTAAGTGCAAACATAGAAACCTCGCGACGAAAATTTGGTCGTTTGATTATTTGTTTGACCAATCAACTTTCTTGTGACACTTTTACTATTGTCTTATCACATTTTATCAGATTCTTTGAATTATCTTTTATCGTAATGGATTGTGGATAGTTTCTATGATAAGCATAATGTTTAATTAATTTATGATTATAAACTGTGTGTGTGTGTGTGTGTGTGTGTATGTGCGTTGAAAATGGCATCTGTATTTATAAATTTATATTAAATTGTAATCTTAAAAAACATTTGTAAACATATATTTACATTTTTACATATTCTCAAACAACACAAAGTACTAAAAGATGACGAAAAGATATCTTTTGTATACATACAAAAGATTTTTTGTCTTTTGGTTTTGTAAAGGCAACTTAAAAAGCACAAATTTTCGTCATCTTTTTATAATGTTCTTTCCGGCAAAGCAAAAAATCCCGTTTATCCACAAATTAATTTCCAGCATCGTTTGCTGACATCTTATTTGTCAACTGTTCGTTTACGTATAAAAAATTATTGCCTACGGATAAATTGCCTATAAGCTTTATTATGCACATTAAGGTACTCTGTTATAAAATACATAAATTGTGACATTTGTGACATTAGAAGCAAAAAATCAAATTTTTTAGAACTTACTTCGTTGAAATTTACAACTTTCCACACGAAGCTAAGTTTCACATAGATTTATAACTTTCTACACAAAATAGTGTTCTTCTACATGGGACCTCTATCTCAAATATGTGCTAGATGTTAACTTGAGCCGTGGTTTGTACATACAGTGCGTTTGTGTTAAAAAATTATATTAAAAGTAATGTTTCAATCTCTATTATTTTTGTAAATACTGTTATTTTTATTTATTTAATTATTTATTATTTATTATTATTGTCTGTTTATTAAACATTCATATGACAGTAGATTAACATTTAATCATGTCTAGCTTTTTGTATATTTAAAATATTAATATAATGCTAATGCTAACGTTTATTGAACTTGCCGTTCACTTCATCAGGGCGGGAGCGCATTGATACTGAGTATCTATCAGTATGCTCCTCATTGGCTCGTTCTGATGAAGTAAACGTCAAGGCTCACGAAGCGCTGACATTAGGTCTGTTCGCGTTGTGTACACTTTATGTACTCAGCATCTTCTCTCTTTTCAATACCCGAATATATATTCATCTCGTTTTAAATGCAAAAACTTTTGAGGATTTCAAACAACGCGAACAAACCTATTAGCAATGACCCCTTTTACACCGAACACTTGATAGGCGTATTAACTAGTAACTTTCTATTAAATTATTTTAATTTCAGCAATATATTTAAAGAATGATGTATTAAATTGATATAATATGCATCAAAGTGATTAATTAAATACACATATTATGTATATGTTTACACACGTATTGTCGAAATTAAGGCTTTCCGTTTCACGCATGATGCGCATGATGCATCTTTTATCTTTGTTATTCACCGAATGTTAAACAAGAATAAATGATGCATTATGCACATCATGCGTAAAACGGAATGCAGCCTAAGATAATTCAATAGAAAGTTACTAGTTGGTATCCGTGCTTGCTTTCCAGCAAGAACACAGTCAGACACTGTGTACCACAGTGAGTCGTTTCATCCTTGTTTCATCCTTGGCAAACAAGAATAAAACGACTCACTGTGTTACACAGTGTCTGATTATGTCCTTGCTGGAAAGTAAGCCGTATCTAGAGTCCCTCTAGGAAAAGTCGAGACACAAAACCGGAAGTACGCTATGTTTCAGTCCTATCAGAAATGACTAATAATTCTTATTCTTCTTTAATAAATGACACCTGCCCTCGGAAAAATAAGACGAGGATCAATATGATCAAAATTAGACTGGCGATAATTATGTTAAGATAATTAACCGAAGCGAAAAAACGTACGCCCCGGCGTCATCATCTTGACAAACATGATGCTACCCCTATAAAAATTTCTCTCAGCTATTCACTTACATTCACCAACTCATTTGGTCTGTTCGTCTTGCTTACACTTTTTTACACTTTTTACACTTAAAACGAGACAGATATATATTTGACGCTGAAAAGAGAGAAAACGAAGATGCTGAGTGTAAAAAGTGTAAGCAAGGCGAACAGACCAATTAACAAACTGAAACATGGCAGTCCAATCACCGAAGAGGACCGTTTATGTCTCGACTCTCCCTAGAGGGACTCTACCCGTATCAAGTGCACGATATAGGTTGTGTTCCGATAGCTGTGTCGAAAATTTTCTTTTTAGTTACAAGGTCGGTAGCGCTGTAACTAATGACGAATTCGGCACACATGCACTTGCTGGATTCACACTGCATCCGATTTTCGTCGTACGACGAAAGAATTTCAAACCGTCTTAAGTAATATTTTAAGACGCTAATGCGGCTTTCTGATTGGTTCATGACACCTCAAGGCTAAACTTAAGACGGTCTTAAATATAAGATCTGACTATGAATACCGGCCTCTGATTGGTTTATGCACCAGCTTAAGACCATCTCGAATCTTGAGCACCGTCTATGGATTTCGTCCTTACTTCTTAAACCAAGCTTACTACAGCTGCGGTCCATTTGACGCTACAAACGTTTTGAAGCATTCTTTGATTAATCAATTTATAAAATGCTTTGTTCTGATTAGTCGCTCAAACGTTTCGAAGCGTTTGTAGCGTCAAGTGGATCGCAGCCTACATGTATTGTAGACGACGCCTTAAGATAAATTTTCACGAGCTGCTCAAACCGACTGTTTCAGCGACAAAAAAGATCACGTGATCAAAATGGACGCTTGATATTCATCAATTTTGATCACATGGTCCTTTTTGTCGCTGAAACAACCTGTATAAGCAGCTCGCGAAATCAGCGAAAATCAGCGAAAATTTACCTTTACGGAAGGTGTGTGCCACGGTCTTAACGCAGGAAAATCAATGAAACGCGAATATGGGTCGCAAAATACCAGGAAAGAAGCATCGGGGTATTAAAGACAAACAGCGCTTTAAACATGTAGCGGAGTAAGTTATCAATAAAGTTGTTGCCTATACGACAAAATATTAGATTTTTAGGCCCGGTTACACCAACGTTACTTTAACTTTAAGCAAGACTTAAAATTCTCTTTTTCTCGTTTTAAAGCAAAAGAGAGACAGAGACAGTTTTAACTTGCTTAAAGTCAAAGTAACGTCGGGCCTTGGATGATTATTTTGAACCAGAAACGGATTTTAGGTTAGAATTGTGTACGAATACAGCGTCGAAAAATGTATACGAGCAAGTAATGCCAAAGAGTCTGGAGCGTATAATTAAATTAAAAGAAGCTGTAAAGATCAATACTGGCATCTTGAAAAGGAAGAAGAAGAAGAAGAAAAAGAATGCTCTTATCTGTATAGGGGGGGGGCTACAGCATCATAAACCAAATCATCCAAAAGCAAAACTAGATAAGGTTATACCAGTACTTCAACAACGACCAGGCGAATCTAGTAAACAATTTATGCACAGAGTATCTAGAGATACATATAATTTTTTAAAGGAAGTAGCATTTGAAAAAAAATACGGTATTCAGATTGAACGGAATTCAAATACTAGTGAAATTCAAGCTATAACAAAATGCAAACATAAAAAGGATACTATAGAAACATTAGAAATTAAGCATAAGAATATTAATAGAAAAAAGATACTTGAAAGCTCTGCAACTTCGTCAAAAAATGAAAAGCGAAAACTGAAAGTATGTGCACGAAAAGAAAAAAAGCTTGAAAGCTTTAATGAATTTGAGAGATTGCAAGATAAGATTGTTTTTGGTGAAGTAGTCTATGAACCTCCTAAGTTGGAAATTAAGTCAAATAAAATTAATGAAGTTAGAAAGCCAAAAAATTTATTATTGAATTCATTATTAAAAGGTTCTCAAGAAGACGTTTTTGCTTCCAAAGTGATTAATCGATTTAGAAAGAAAAAACACTTACCTGAAACAGAAAGAAGAAAACTAGAGGAACAACAAATATTGCAGCCTACAAATAATTGAAGTCTGAACGATCGATTAATAGAAACTACTAGGGTATGTTCAAAATTACAAAAGCAATAAATTGTTTGAATAAAGCATATATATTTGACTTTTTCTTTCAATTTATTTTATTGATTCATTCTTATTTTTTATGTTATGATTATATAAAATGTATGAGTTAAAACTCATAATAAAATTAATTAAAATTTCTTAAATTAGATATCTCACAGTTTGCATATCTTAATCACAATTTCTTTGCGATAGAATATAAATATTTTATAGAGAATCCAGGTTTTTATTTAAAAAAAGAGATAAAATTTTTTTTATTGTTTGGATATATATTTAACCTGTAGTCCAGACAAAGGGCTCGAGCCTCTCTTCAATTGGTAATAGATTGTTGAGCGTTTCGAGACTTTCAAGGGTTTGATTGAGAAGCGAGTGACATCTAGTTAGCTGACGGCTAAGCTCATGCACTTTATTTATCTGTTCTGCAAATTTAGCGAATTTCTTTTGTCGATCCACAGTGAGATTTAATGCCTTGCCAAATTCTGTTTCCATACTAGCACATAGAGTAACTTGTTCTGCTGCTATAATCTGTGCATTTGTGTTTAGATGATGTTGATAACGTGCACATAGATTGAACAGACCGACGGGATCAAGCCTCTCTAGGACCTCTGGATCACGTACACCAGGTGGTAGATTCAATGTGCCACGCATAATCGGTAGGAACATTGGGATACTTTGTAGTTTTACTATGTCAGGATCTTTGTCTGCTGTAGGATCTATTTGAGCTGGCTTCACCACTACAATACTGTGTGTCTTGTCTGATATATTAATCTTCTTCTGACTTTTAACATGGAAAGAGAGCAAACTAATAAAATTTTATGACAGAGTTGTTACATATAAAGTATGGTATTTTGAAAATTTTGATTGTATTAGAACATTTTTATGTAGTATATATTGTCTAATAATGAAGTACTATGTTACATTAATAAACTCTGATATATAATGAACTCTTATTTTTATGTATAAATATATGTAAAAATATATTTATAAAAATAAAATAATGATACTGGCTTGTTATTTGATATAATTTGAAGAATATTCTTTTCATATACAGGGTGTTTCTGATCACTCGCAATCAGAACACACAAGATTAAGCGTTTTATTCTGAATCTATCGAATCTATATATATTTTTTGTTTTATTAGAAATATTTCAAATTTTAGAAATATCTCAAAATGTTAAAAACATACATTCATATATAAATCCAGTAATACCTACTTATGAGTTGCACCTACACTATTTTTCTGCCTTGAGATTTCCCCAGCTCCAATACTCTTTCCTCTATAGATTTGTGACTGTTTATTTGTCATCTTTGGTGAATCTCCAATAGGTCGATTCACTGTATAAGAAATATATGGAAGATCAGAATCAGAGCAAATGCTAGCGCCAGGACTGGTACATCTCGGTGGAGTATCTTCTGGCATTCTTTCACGATTTGGAACACTTTTACCACGTCTGAGTTGACTCGTTCTTGTTTTTTCATTATTAGCATTTTGGTTACTATTTTGAGAACTTAGCTCCGACCCCATTTTCAAATTTCTTAGAGCTTACTTGAAGATCGTGAAACTTCAAGAAAATAGAAGTGTTCTTAAGAAGTATGAACTTCAATTAAATCACTGTAATTTAATATATTTTAGGATATTTAATAATTTTTATCATTTTTATGAATCATAAACTATTATATGCTATTTTTGCTAAGCTCTATGAGAATTAGAAAAATCAGTATAAAGCACACTTGCAAAATATCACAAATATTTAATAAATTTTAGTATATGATATATCTTCAAGATATATTTCCAGAGTTTGTGAAAGTCTTAATAGTATCTTTAGCATTGTTTATATCTCATCATATTACATGTCAACAGATTTAAGTAAAACACACTAAGAGGTTATATGAACACAATATATAAAAAAATTTATATTTTTTTCATTTTACCCTTATTTGCTGCTATTTAAAATTATTACTCATTTTATGTATATATTGCTTATTTATATTTATTATTACTTTATTTCTTGTTTCATGATTAACATAACAATAAAATCATTATATCCAGTGAGCTCTATGCATACTGGCAATAAGAGAGGCCATGCCGGTCTTTTTCCTGTTACCATCGAAATCGCCCGTACATTACCGCCAGTACATCCATTTTCAATTTGGGAACTACGTGACTACATACATTTTCTAACACTATCGATAAAATCGTATCGTCATGAAAAAAAGCGAGAAAAACACGATAAAATAAAGTTTTATTTTATGATAATGATTTTAGTTAACTACATTTTGCAATTTATATTTAATCAGTGATTCCTGATTATTTTTTTCTACAAGATCCTGTGGAGGGTCCTGAATATATTCTCGGAATCTCCAGAGAACACCCTCGGGATAGTCCACAGAACGCCGTCGAGACCTCCTGAGGATACATTAGGCGCTCATTTGATGTTCTATAGTGGATGTAGGCCCAGCTCGCGGCTCGGCTTGCGGCTCGATTTGCGGCTCGGCTTGCGGCTCGGCTCGCGGCTCAATAGTCTGGACGCACCTTTACTTGATGTCCGAGTTCAAAATGTAATAATTTCGAACTTTCAGCTCTGAAATGGGTTAAAATAGTTCGAACATACATTTAGTCCGAACTATTTAACGTTCGAACTTAAGATTCGAACTGTCCGAACTGTCAAATCATCTGATGTTTCTGAGCACTAATATATACATTAAATATTTAAATGTAACTAAATTATTTAATTTTTATTCATTTTTTGTATCTTATTTAATTTATCATGATTTTAAAAAATATGTATATATATAGTATATATTTATGTATACACATTGTATGTATGTACTACTTACATTATATATATTACATACAATACATGTATATATATGTGTATTTCAAGAATGTTATATTTACGTGAATTGAAAACAATATTCATCGTTTAGAATCTTTATAGTCTATATCCTGATAGTAAAATGTTATGGTGAATTCGATTACTCGCACTACATTGGATCAGTGCATATTAAAAGCTACTTTATATAAAATATCTCAATGCAGTGATACAATATAATCAATTTTGACAATGAAATGATACACACATATTTTGTTAAATAACGTGATAATATCATTAGTAGATAGTTAATCGTTAAAAATATTTATATATACTTTTACATTTAGCTTTGCTAATGTCATGTAAAGCAACTTTTAGTATGCGCTGATCTAGTGTAGTGCAAGTAACCGAATTCGCTATTAGCGATTTGCGCGCAAATTGGCAGCAAACTCTCGATCAGATTTTGACTACAAAACCATAGCCATCTATGTCCGCATTTAGCTGTGGATTTGTCGATAAAGCCTGCTGACATGGTTTGCCAGCAGATTGCTGATAAAAACCGAGCAGTCTGCTGACATAATCTGATAGCAAATTGCGAGTAGAAACCGAGCAGAGCCTGCTGACATAACCTGACAGCAAATTGGCAGCAGAAACCGAGCAAGATCTTACTTTCTCATTTAAATCGACCTAGTTTCTTATAAGAAATTTTGCGTACATGTGTATATAAATTATGTATAATTATACATAATTATATATTTATATATACTGGTGTGAAAACTGGAAACAATCAATACAGTTTTATTACTAAAATATTATTGATTAGCTTAACATTTCAAAAATACATATGAGGAAGTTATAAAATAGTAAAAAAAATATTTGGAGATTCAGAAAACACACACTCCAAAAGAGCTTGAGAATCTCTAGATTTACCTATTCGATTTACATACGCTAATTCTTATAGGATTCCTGGGCGATTTCTTACGAGAAACAAGTCTATCTCATGGCGATGCCGTAGCCGTATATGAAAATGACAGCTCTTGCTTGGTTTTTGCTGCCAATTTGTCGTCAGGTTATGTCAGCAGGCTCTGTTCAGTTTCTGTCGAATTTCCTGACTTAGCATGTCAGCAGGCTTTGTTGTCATATTTTTAAGCAGTTTGCTGACAATGTCTGATAGTACAAACTCTGTATACAATTAGTTGCCTTTTTGCACAATCAGAAATTAATAACAGGCTCTGCTCAAAATCTGTCTCCGCAGGCTTTGCTGTCAGGGAAATTTTGCGTACATATATATAAACGGTTACATATAATTATATATGTATATATACTGGTGTGAAAACTGGAAAAAATCAATACTTTATTGCTAAAATATTATTGATTAGCTTTACATTTTAAAATACACATGAGAAAATTATAAAATAGTTAATAAAATATTCGGAGATTCAAAAAGAACATTCCGAAGGAGCTTGAGAATCTCCAAGAGATTTGCCTATTCGTTTTTTTCTTAATGTTTCCAATAAGTTCACGTATCACGGTACCTAGGAAATCCTTCAACCTATATAAATACTGAAAAATAAAGGAATTCATGAATTCATGAATACATGAAGATAGGATCTTTCAATAGAACGTTTATATTCAAGAGTGGAGAAAGTAGTGGAAAAATTTTCAAAAAACCCGAAAGCAATTTGCCTATTCGATTTACATACGCCAATTTTTATAGGATTCCTGGGCATTTTCTTCTTATGAGAAGTGTAAGTCCATCTCGTGACAGAGCCATATATGAAAATGAGAGATCTTGCTCAGTTTCTGCTGTCAATCTGCCATCAGGTTATATCAGCAGGCTTTGCTCAGCTTCTGCTCGCAATCTGCTGTCAGGTTATGCAGCAGACTCTGTTCGGTTTCTGTCATCAATTTACTGGTATAGTATATCAGCAGGCTTTACCATATTTTTGACAGTAGTTTGCTGACATTGTCTGATAGTACAAACTCTGTGTACAATTTGTTGCCTTTCTGCAATCAAAAATTGGTAGTAGGCTCTGTTCAAAATCTGTCTCCGCAAGCTTTGCTATCAGAGTATATAAGCTTTTCTATAGCAACCGTAATTCTTTTGGCCTGTGAATCTATTAACTAATGGCTTCGAATGTTGCAGTTGAATTTTCTGTTGAATTTCCTCTTCTCACATTGTTATAATTTATAATTTTATTTTATTAGCTTCCGGCATCTCAATTCCATTTCCAGAAATGCCTTCATATTAGGATCTTGTACCTTGTCAAAGATGGCTTTTTGCAAATCTATATTGGATTTTTCTATCATGTTACTCAATCTTTCTGCATATTTAATCCATACACAATTCGTACATCCTGACATACAGCAATTAGTCGGTTCCGTCAAATCATCCATTGAAATTTTTTTTGCATGATCAGTCCGAGCTTCGTCATCTTTTTGAATAGATGAATTTCGTCGATAATAACAGAGACTTTTACTAATGATTAGCCTTGACCGAAGTATGGAACTCATTTATTTTGATTCTGTCCAAGATACATGTGGTGCAAAATAGCTATTTTTATAATTAATAATATTATATTAATAGAAAAAGAATAAACATCACAATAAAAAATAACTGTTTTGTTCCTTTCGTAAATGATATTTGAAATAAATTCAAGAAAATTTTATCTAACCTGTTGTGAAACAGTAATGTGTAAGCCCTAGACACAATGTGAGGCAACAGTGTCAAGAATAGCGATAAGAATAGCATATAGAAATAAGCGATATATAATTGTCACCTCCCGTTGCACAATACCGCGAAAGAAATAAAAATGCCAACCAATCTGATCTCGTATATAGACTGAAGTATATTCTTCCATCTACTTCAAGGTTATAACACATATAAAGATTGAAAAATCTGAATGCTAATTGGCAGGTTATAAGGCTCAAGGCAAGGTTATAAAGCGATAGACATAGAACTTCAATTCGTCGGAAATTTATCGCAATTTATTGCCTTATTCTGTATTCCTATGTGCATTGATGTATGCATTCCCGAATGTTGGATTATTCTGTTTCTATCGCTATTGCTGTCGCTATCATTATTTCTATCCAAAGACATACCGCCGTATATTTAGCAGACAAGTTTAAGATTTCTCATTTTTTTTTATTGGAATAATTTGGGAAAATTTAGGAAAACAGTCTCATAATTTAAGAAATAATAATTTATTTATAATCAATGAAAATTAATTCGAGCGTATAGTTAGCAGAAATATTTAACATTTCTCATTTTTTTTTTATTGCAAAAGATTGGGAATAATTTGGGAAGATTTAGGAAAATAGTCTCATAATTTAAGAAATAATTTCATTATAATTATAACATAAATTTAATAAAAATAAAAATCAGTGTCACCATTGTGCTGTATGTTTTCTATATTATCGACTGTGTACTTGCACCTTATTTTGACGCGTGGATCATAATTTACACAAAAATCCAGGTAATCCTGTTATTTCTGATTATAATAAAACAAAAATGGTTAGTTAATATAAGCAAAAATATTAATACTTTTGCTCAAAATTGACGACTTATTTTTCATAAAATTAATCTATTTCGAAGATAAAGGTTACTTTAGAAAAATGACAGATAGACAGATTAACCTAACATTGCTATAAAAATAAAGATATTTACTAAAAATTTAGTCTATTAAATCCAATTACAATGACAATATTTTAATAATTAATAGAATAATTAATAATTAATAGAAAATCTAGTACTAAAAAAGCCAGCCTGTTTGCTTGGATGACTCTTTAAAGCATTCCAGAGGAAATTATTATTATACGTAATATTGCCTGTAATATGTATAAGTACAATAAATTACTTAATTACGAATTCTGTGTGTCACCAAATAATCATCCACAAACTAACAATATTGTTTATAATTTTAACGCCTAAATGTACATCTCTGATATTAGGAGAAATTATAAATAAGAATTTATTTATAATTTCTCCTAATAAACTTCGTCAAAATAACAAATTCAAATGTATAATATAAGTTTAGAAAAACACAATTACTAATGTAATCGACGATCACTAACCTCATATCTGTCACAATATCCGTTCTGACGCCAACGCATTGGCGTCGCAATGACCAAATCCGCACGTATTGATGCTAGCCAATCACGGAGTAGCATAAGTCACATGACCAAGTTGACAATTCTCTCTCAAGTTCTCTACCTTGAGTAATGCTAATGCTGGCGGTGCTGTGACTTGCAAGCCTTATAACTCGAAAAGTACTTAAAGAAAATGAACTTAATTACAGTGTTTTGGAAAGCTCTCGACATAAGCTATAAGAATATGTAATGAAAAATGGGGAGTTACATTTAAAAAATTCAAAGTGAACAACCTTTCCCTGACCTTGACAACGTCACCCAAGGTCAAACCACTGGTACTATCTTATGTCCTCCTCTAAACCATATAACTTTTGTTTGAAACATTTTTCCGTATCTACCATAGTTTTTGAGAAATCTTAATGCATTATTTAAAATGGGACAACCTGTATATTTTTATTATAATATAAGTTTTAATTAAACCGTCAAATTTAGTCAAATAGATAAAATTAGGAAAAAGCATTACTAGTAATACTAACAACTTACAGAAATAGGATTACGGCTCCATGGGACATATAGAGATAAAACACGTAACGTTACGAACGCAATACCTAGTAACTTTTGCAGACATCAGGTGCGAATTACGGACTGTTGCCTAGTTTACATCGTGCACTTGATACGGATACTAATTAGTATCTGTCTATTGAATTATCTTAATTTCGGCGAAATGTGTAAACATATACATGATAATATGTGTATTTAATTAATCATTTTGATACATATTCTGCCAATTTAGTACGTCATTCTTTAAATACATTGCTGAAATTAAAATAATTTAATAGAAAGTTACTAGTTAATACGCGTATCAAGTTCTCGGTGTAAAAGGGGTCTGTATGTGACGGAACCTTTACACTGCAGAAGCTAGAAAAAATAGGAGTGGGGGTAATTTTCTTGCAACTACTCTATTACATGCCTTTATGTTATGTTAGTATTGTGTTATAATTTCAGCTTCTTACTGTTAATATTAATGAAATTATTGAGTTGAATCAATTTATCACTGTAATAAGTAGCGTCATCATAAATTATAATCTATATAAAATGATTACTGTAGGGCGTGTAAAAGACTTAATGGTTATTTCGTGATACATACGTGTAGAGGAATAGTAAAGCATGTTGTATAGCAAGATACAAGTGCTTTGCTTTCGTATTCTTTGTTTAGTTGGTTGTCTCGTATATCTCACCTATTTGGGATATACGGCATTTTTAGCGGGCGGGATTTATGCCCAAAGCATACAAAGTGCGTAGATTGAATTCAGTGCATTAAATGCAATAAACGCATTACATGAAATATTATACCATCAAATGGTATACCTCATGTCATAACATTTGTAATATATATAGGAAGATTGTAATTATCATTTATTACTTCATATACATATTTATCATTCTTATTCTTTAATAAAACTTTATAAACGCATTTTATAAGTTATTGTGTCGTTTTACGTCTTATTTATAAGCATTATTTGTAAATTTTTCATGAGCCGTACATACCCTCCCCTGCCGCTATGAGTAGCCATATATTCTACCCTTATGGGATATACGGCAAAAATGCAAGGGTTTCAAAAAGTTCATTTTTTAATACGAAAAATAAATATATTTCGGATTTCTAATATTTTTTTCATAGTAGTAGACAGTACAAAATTTTTACTGATATAGTTCGTTTACTTTAAACATAGTAAATAATACTTAATTAAGTTTTTGATAGGTGTAGCGTATATACCGGAGTTACCCTAAGTTATATAAAATGAATAAACCAAACTTTAGTAAAAACTTTGATAAGAAGGTTAAAAAGGATTACGAAAAAGTATAGAGAATGTACATATTTCACACATGTTTGGAATGGTATAAATACAACTCTTTGATACTGAAGATGTGAATAATATCACGGATTTGACCGTGAAGATGCAGAACTTTCGCGTCGATTCTCAATCTCGTAAACCAATAGGAGAGGGAGATTGAAAGAAGGAGATGGAAAAAGAGCGAGATAAGATAGAACGAGAAAGATCGAGAGAGGGGTCAGATGAAATGACAGTGAACGTCTGACGTCACTTAAAAAGCCCGCTGATGCGTCTTTTCGTAAATGCGAGTTAACTCGCAGTTTCGCGAAGCGCTTTGTCGTCAATATCATATGTATTTTCTTATCGTGAAGTATTCATGTAAACACAAATGTATTATCTAGCATTTTCGTAGTCGTGCATAAGGATAACTGAAAAACATCAAAAAAAGAAAGTGTTTGATAATCTAGTTTGAAAGTAAATCATTATAAGCATGCATGAAATTTTTGGAGGTATGTAAATGAGAATATAAACAGATGTTTTAAACTTAAGAACATAGAAAATGAAATATAATGTAAAAAATAATGTTTTTGGAGTCTTAAAGGTATCATTTTGAGTGGAATACATAGACTGGATATAACACTTATTGTTAGATTTTATCTTGATTCTTATCTATAATGATATTTGATATTTTACCTTAAAAAAATTCTTATTGTTAATAATAATTCTGTATTCCAGTGACATATAGTATTCCAAAAATGTAGGCACATATGTTGCTTTGAATTTTTTATTAAAATAAATATTCCCTTATATTAAAGCAAATCAATGAAGAGGTCCTGAATGTATATAACAATCATAATATGCCTTTAAAATTCATACACTAACTGTTTATATATTAATTGAAATTTATTACATGAACAAAAATATATGTAAACGTTTCAACCTTAAATTTCATTTACAATATTAAATGAAATACATCTTAACGGATCGCAATACAATAAGAATCGCAATAGTATAAATAGAAAGATCTTGTCGTTGTATAGTGGTGATATTGTATTGAAAATAACCCAAATTTAAGGTCGAAATATTTACATATATCTTTGTTCATGTAATAAATTTGAATTAACACACAAACAGCTAGTGTATGATTCTTAAGGCATTTTGATTCTTATATTAAATGTTTAAGAATTTCATTTATGAGGAATTTTATATTATTATTAATTATATTCTAAATAGGTTTAAAATTAAAATCACAAATAAATATTTTTACATTTTAATATTAATATCTAGAATATCTATAATTTCAATCATATTTTTTAGAAAATCGTTGTTTTAAAAAATTCGAAAGCAATTGTTATTTTTTTTAATAAAAAAGATGTTTACCAGAAAACTTTGGATTAATAAAAAAAATATTTCAGTATATTTATGAATAATGCAAGAAACTTTTTGTACTGCGAAACAATTAAAACAATTTCTTTATAAGAAAATAACGCTATCGAGATTTGTTTCATCTCATATTTGAAATTCGAATTTAATTTGACACGCGAGTAAAAGCAGTGCCCCAGTTTTTAACTTTTACACAGGAATAGCTCGAAAAATATAAAAGATACGGAAGAATGTTTCAGATGAAATTTATATGGTTTTATGGGGCATAAATAATGGAAAAATCAATTTTAAAAAATCGAGTTTTCAAAGTCATATGAAGGTTTTGGCTATTTAAAAAAAATGGAATTGTATGATTACATTATATGATTTCTCTAATTATTCTACAAAAAATATTAAAGTAGTATATAACGAAAAATCAATAATTTATGAGATATTTTACATTTTATTCTTCCACATTTTCACATGAAACATAAAATGTCTCGTAAACTATGTTTTTTATAAAAGTGCCTTAATACATCTAGGCTTTGAAGAATGAGATGACTCAATTAATATAACGAAAATGTAGTTGCTTTTTTTAAAAAAAGTTATGTTGCAAAGGCTATTATGCATATTACAAATTATATCATTTTTGTGAAAATTATTTATTTTTTTTAATGAGACACCCTATATATATGGTTAATAGAGGCTTTCATATGCTCTCGTATGTTCATTGGGTTTCTGACGCAGCAGGAAACGTACGGAAAGCGGAGAAGTGCGTCACGTCGTATTAGATTCATGATATTAAGTTCATTTTATACACTATAATATTTAGTATCAAAATTTTATTCTTTTATGTACGTATGTGTTATAAAGAATTTTGATATTTATGAATGAAATATTATTAAAAATCAAATTAAATGTTAATAAATAGTACGAATTATAGACATATAATGTTTTAATTAAATATTAATATGCAATAATATATTAATAATAAAATATCTTAATTTACATTAACAATATCATAATATGTGTTTATATGCTTATGTTGTGTTTTATTATCTTTACTCATAGAAATAACGAATACCTCTTATAAATATATGATAATGAGGCACACACACACGCACGCACACACATAGCATGCTTATTCAAACTCTTTTAAGCCTTTAATACAAAATTATAGTTATACCTATAATTTAATGTCGTCTAGTTGTGGAGTATGAGCAGATAATTCTGATAATTTTGTGATTGTACAGAAAAATTTTATGTTTATTTTTCATATTAGTTCATTACATTTAATAAATCTGTTTAATATATCTCTAAATCTACATAGAATTTTATAAATGTAAACACGAAAAAGTATCATAAATATTGTATAGTGAAATAATATTACGCAAAGTTTATTTGTCTCTCCCCCTTTTATACTAGATTGTTTAATATAGGCTTTATGCATGTATGGTGATTATGACGTGCATACTACTACCGCCTGCGCGCTGTAAAGAGATAAACGCTATGGCGAGATCTCATGTGACTCGAGAGAACGAATGAACATGGGTGAATTTAAAACAGTCGTAAGCGTGCCGCGCATACGTGCGCTCGATGTCAGTTGGAAGAGCACAGAAAAATTACCATTATTTTTAAAGGTATGCCACTTTATTCTTTATAGAAAACATAGAAAGGAATGAAATTGTGCATAATTTTTATTTACTATTAAGTATAATTTTAATTTTTTTTAATAATGCATTATCTGTACTCTAATAATTAATCAATTATCAGATACAGACAATTATAAATGTACGGTACAAGAAAAGATAATAAAATTTCAAATGTCTAATAATAAATTAAATAAAAATTAAGCTTAAGTACATATATTTTTTAATCTCTTCCTATGAACGGATACAGTACATTTTTCTTTTGCTTGAAAATACATTTCTTGAGGAAATTTTATTAAAATAGAAAATCCTGTTAGAATATAATACTATAAAAATTTAATTTTAATATAATTGCAAAATGTTTTTTGTGAAAAACGATATGAATAGATAATATCAATATTAGTCATATCATACTTATCAAAAATAAATAGAGAGATAATGTCTAATTAAATATAATTTAGAATTAATTAAAAATAAGAGGAACTTAATGGAAAAGATGTTAACAAAGTCAATTAATCAGATATCATATTTTATTTGTTTAAGTAAAACAAATAAAATAATTAAGACTCAGAATTTCAAAAGAAATATAAAAGAAAGAATAGCCGTAATGAGTCAACGCAGATATAAGTGCGCAAGAAATTTGACGTTTATTCTTATATTCATAAAATTTGTAAACGTTTCGACCATTTTTTTTATCTTTCTCAATACAAATATAAAAACTAATCAAATTATAATATAGAAGTAGATCTCTATTTATAACATTATTCTTACCTCGCACATATTTAGTTTGACGATCTTTACTTTTATATTATAATTTGATTATTTTTTATGTTTGTACTGAGGAAAACCACAAAAGTGGTCAAAACGTTCACAAATTTTATGTATATTATATAAGAATAAACATCTAATTTTTTGAGTGCACTTATATCTGCGTTGGCTCATTACGGCTATTCTTTCTTTTATTTTTCTTTTAAGAAAAAGATATTATAATATAATATTTAAAGAAAAATTACAAAATTAATAGTATGATCAAATTGATGGTATTTCCATTTACATAGAAAGTTACAAAAAGTATTCATAACACATTAATCTCCGTTTCCTATAAAATATAAAAATGTTTTGTTTACAAAACTATAATTGACTTTATTTGAATGTGCTGTTTTAGAATTTTGTGTTTGTATTAAAATATCTTAAACATGTTAAAATTTATGTACAAGTAAAATCGTCAATTTTAAAGTAGATCATGTTATGTTTGGTATTGGCAATGCCAAAATTGTTCCGGTAATTGCTAAATTGATCCCTTCTTTTATGATTGAAAATTCTTAATCAAATATTTGTAAATACATTATGTTGATAAATTTTTTGATTTATTGTAATATTTATAGTTTTATAATATTTTTATATTATAAAATACTTCTTTTGCTTACTTGGAGTTATTATCTAACACGCTGATCGTATGTAACAAGTTATCGTTTGCATAATATAAATATGTGATGTGTAAAAAATATTTAATTATCAAATATAATTTCTTATTTATCTAGGAATGATAGGAGCTCAAAGGTTAAAAGAATCAAGCGATGCAAAATAAGCAACATTCAAAGATTAAATCGATATTATTACATTTCAACTAACAACAAGAAAAGAAATAACAAAGAAATAAAGACAAACAATTGATCCAAACTGATTAAGATTGAAAAAACAAGGATAGCGATAAGATGGCGTAAAAATAAATCTCAATAAATCGAAAAAAGAAAGAGTATATCGAAATGGAAATGAAATCAATTCTTTTCAAGCGATTTTCTTCTTAAAGAAGAAAAAGAAGATGGATGAATCGCCGAAACTCTTTCGACTTCCGGGAACTATTGAGGAAGAGGAGGAAGTGGAACAACAAAGGAAGACAGAATGTCAAACGAAAGAATTGCTAGACAACGCGACGGAATCTCTTCTTCTAGATCGGAAAAGCGTCTCGACACTTTCCAATTTACCAAGAAATGTTACCCTCATCAGAGTTAGCACTCAGAGCAGTAGTATCACCGGCGGTATTGGTAGACAGGACTCCACCAGGTAAGAATCTATCTGATTTAGATTGTCTTTCCTTATTACGTTTGTTTATCTTTTATTTAGATAATGCAGATTCTATTTATGTTAAAAATATTAAACAAAATCACGAGTCTGGTACAAAATTGTTTATTTTTGACAAAGCCTTATGCTAAAACATGTACGTCATTTGTCGATTACGTAATTATCGGCATCTTTGCTCGACAGGTGCTCTCTACAGTTTTAAACAGATTGGACAAAGAAACATAGTAACGTATTTCGATTATTAAAACGTTTAACTCTTACGCGAATATTACAGAAAGAATCTTATTGGACCGTACGTGTGAGTATACACAACCAATAGAAAATAAAAACAGTCAAAGTTATATGGATATTAAATGCTTAAATAATTCGATACGACATATGTCATCATGAAAATTGCGCGCCGAATTGATTTTTCGTTATTTTTTTTTAAACGTAATCTTGACAGAATTGTAGTAGTAATATAATAATTTACTGATAGACAACTTGGAAAGATCTTAATATTGTTGATAAACGTTCGAAAAATCAATTGACGAGCAATTTTTATGATTTTTATATACTATACGTATGTATAGTATAGAATTATTTAAGCACTTAAGATCCAGCTTCGACCATTAAAAATTTTTATTTCCTATTGGTTGTGTATTTACATGTATGAGATATTTTCTTTAATATTGTTTATGTACATCACCTGAAAAAGATGTTTTTTGTTTCTACATATACTGGTTATATTGCGAAAAATATTACTAAAGCCACGATAGTCTAAGTTAAGTTTGATAAAATTTAATTTTTTAGTAAATATCGACAATAGGGGACTCAGCTCGGATGACCTTCACCTTGACATGTGATGTCAAGGTCATAACCCTGAGTGACCTTGAGACGGTTTTAGTTGGTGCTCGTCCTTCGTTTAAAAGTTATTACCAAAAAAGTTCCAAACAAAAGCGAGGTCTACACCACAATTATATAAACGTTAAATGTATATAAGGTATTTAAAAATAAGATATTAATACGTCAAAAATTAATTTATTGGATATAACTTGCTCATGATTTCAAAAAATGTGTCTATACGTTTATCAAATGTGATAAACAATGTATCAACATTAGTACTCAACCCCCCTCATTAGTACTCTCATCCCCTCCCTTGCAAAGGAGCGCACGATTCTCACCTCCGACTTTCACCCCCCTTCCTCTGTTTGGGAGTCCTTTCCAAAGCGTGGAAAGGACTCTCCCCCTGCAAGAGGCTCACGACTTCCATAATTGAACTGTTGCACAACATTGAAATCCAAGTACAACTTATGCACTTTTGTTTTTAAAATAGGAAATCTATTTTAAAGCAGAGATTTTTTGTTTTTAAAGCAGGAAATTTATTTTGAAGCAGAGATTTTTTGTTTTTAAAGCAGAAAATATCTATTTTATAAAACAAAGAATTCTCGTGTTATATAATAGAACTGTTTTTTGTTAATAACTTTTTAATTAAGGACGAGCACCAATTAAAACCATCTGAAGGTCACTCAGGATCATGACCTTGATAATATATGTCAAGATCAAAGTCATCCGAGCTGGGTTCCCTATTGTCGATATTTACCAAAAAATCAATTTTCAAACAAGTAAATAAGAAACTGTATATTTAAAAAATCTTAAAAAATTTTTTTAAATACTTCAATATAAATATGATCATATCTCCCCTAGTTTTTCATGTTCCGGTTGGCTTAATGTTCATCAGTGCTTCGTTCTTCACTTGTGTTGTCTGATATTTCGTCTCTTGCGTTTGGACATTCCTCGACACCTCCGCAATCTTTTATATTTGAATTCCGATCTCCAACTCTGATAACACTCCTGACACCCGTTGTCACAGTTCTTTATCCTTTCCCAGACATCATACTTCCAAATTCAAGACTGCTTTTTCCTATACTGCCACAAAATTCTATAACATGTTACCCTCTTCCATCGGATTGTTTTCCTCATTTCCTTCGTTTCGTTCAGCTTTTGCAAAATTTATATCGACTTTGTAACACTAACTATTTCTTATGTCTCTTTTATAAATTTTACTGTAATTATCATTATTATTTTGTACGTTTTAAAAATTCTATTATTTCATTGGTATGTATGCTCTGTATTTCTGCGTGTATGCTTTCATATATTTTCTCATTCTTCGTAATTACTTTCATTACTTTATACGTTTAAAAAATTCTGTTATTTCATTTGTATGTATGCTCTGTATTTCTGCGTGTATGCTTTCATGTATTGTCTCATTCTTCATAATTGTATTTTGTTATGCGTAAATTCTTTTATTTACTAGGAGGCTTAGTAGTAACAGTTTTGCTGGTGCCTCACTATTTGTGTATATTCTATATTTCTGTAATTTCTGAAAGTTCTTTTTACACAATCATGTAATATTCTATACACAATAAAATAAATAAATAATAATAATAATATACATAGAATATGATATCATAAAGAAAATTTTGAGATTGCAGTTGGCCCCATTCGTAAACGAATATTTTTTTCTAAAACGAAGTTGGAATTATTTCAGCCTAATCACTATAAAATAAATTTGTACGATGTTTCTTTATACATTGAATTTTTCAATGTATTACTGCTCAATTTTTTGTTAACAGTTGTAACAAATTTAACGTTTAATAATTAACGTTTTTATCTGAAAATATGAGAAATATCCTAAAAAAATTCGTGTTTATAAAAATTTTATATATTTTGTAATTTTTACTACAAATGACAAAAAAGAAAAACCTCTTAAAACAACTACCTCCAATATCATAGACGTAAAACATATATTATTTATCTTTCTTTATCTTCAATCTTATACATATATGTAATATGTGTACTAATATGCTTTGACGATCTTTTAAAAATCTCAAGAAATTCATTTTTAAGTGGACCCCTGAATCTGCCATATATATACATATATATATGACAGAGAGAATTACCTCAAAAATATTATATTAATGTAGAATCTTGCGCTAACGTTACGTTATATATATCCAGTGTAACATTGTAACGTACAAATTGTAACGTACAATGTTGTGAGATAATATTTAATGTTCTGTATTATGAATTTAATAAGTGGTGATTGTGATAAGAATTATAGCATAAATGGTATAGATAAATGGTAAACATATATATATATATATGGTAATCTTGTTAGCGCATGCACATATACGCAATGCGAATGAAACATCAATTGCACGTTAATTAGGCTCGATGATGGTAGACCTCACTCTCGTATTTACTACGGAACGTACTATATTTACTTTTATCATTTGCAAGCAAGATTCTTACAAGGCAAGAAAAAATTTTGTTGTCATAAAAACGTTTCTACTTCTACATATTCAATATAAAAATGACCAAACTTTGTTATCATTGTCAATTATTTGCTAATATAATATAATATAATAAAATTTACTTTCATTTTTTACTAAAATACAGAATTTTGTTGAATATATTTGCTAGTAAAAACTTTATTTATTTATCACATTGAAATTAATTTAAATTATTATTAAACAAAAAAATATATAGAAGCTATAGTTTGCTGTTGCAATGAAATTAGATACTATTATTTTAATGGTAAATTAATTTGTTATAGCAAAACTATTTTTTTTTTTGATAAATAGTATTATTAACAAATCTTATTTTATCTATATAATAAATGAAATTTATTGTAATAATATATGAAAATAGTTCAAATGAACGAGACCTTCTACGTGAATACAACGTTGATAGATATGTTAACACTATAAGTGTTTATACAGAATTACATAAGAAAAAAAAGTAATGCGTAATAATTAATCATATTGTTATAATTGCCACGTAGTAATCAATAAACATTAAGAGAAAAGAAAATTTATTAGCAGCATATTTTATACATGAGTCAATATAATATGAACGATACTATTTTTTGTATGAATATAAATCAATCATGTAGGTAGAGAGAGAGACATATTTATACTGAGTGTCAGGTGGAGGTGTTTGCTTATGCCCTAAGTACATGTGGTCTTCCAGCAGTTATTACAGATGTTACTATAATAGTTTCGATGTTCGAATAAATAATACCGAGTATCATTGTGCAAGTTCTAGTTCATGCATTGATCAAGTTTCTTGAGAATGAAAATGTTAAAGCCATCGTAATTTCGTTTAAACTGCGTGCACAATTCAGAGAAGAGATGCTATTGAAAGTGTAAGAGCATACCGGCATTCGGTACTATTTGTTTGAATATCGTAATAACGACTAAAAAACAACTGCCATAAGGTCACAACTATATAGGGTATGAATAGACACCTCTACCTGTCACTTACTGTAAATACATCTATTAATGTTGATTTGTATTTACACAAAAAAGATATGGTTTATATTTGAACAGTTTATATTTGACCTCTACTTATAAAGTATGTTGCTAGAAAATTTTCTTCTTTCTGTATATTGATTGCTACATGGCTATATAATGATATAATTAATTACTACATATTGATTTTTCCCTTATATAATACTTATATAATACATATATATATATACTACGCAAAAAAATTAAAGGATCACCTAGTCGATCCTCAAAAATAGGTAAAAATTCAGAAGAACTTGTAACTTCGTTAAAAATGATCGTAACAAGATTTTTAAAAAAGCATTTTAAAGCTTAAAATCTCTACTTTCACCAAGTTATTCAACATTCAAGTAAAAATGACCCCTTTTACTTGAATGTTGAATAACTCGGTGAAAAAAAAAAACGTATAACGTTCAATAAAGAAAACAAATTGAAGGTGAAGATTCATTCTATCGACTGCTGTAAATCGCATTTGTGTGCGATTTTTAGTTCACGTCATAGACCTTTGTAAAGTTTGTACAAAATTTTTAGATTTGACGTATACCCATTTCTGTTCGTATAGCAACATAAAAAATTAATCAGATCGAAATATTAATTACCGATTTTGAAAGTAGAAATTTCAAGCTTTAAAATACTTTTTTAAAAATCTCG